TGTCGTTTCACAAAAACTTTCATAACTTTGCTCAAACTTAATATTTTTGCATTCTCTTTGTAGATAAATAATCTAGAGGCATTTTTCTAAATATTGAGCTTGAGCAATTGGCGCTACTTTAGAATTCTTAAGGCTGGGTCGTAACATGAAGTTGCACCATCCTAGTTTTTTGCACCAAAATCAAAATCGCTATTTTTTGCTATTTGCTCTGCTCTACAAGCTATATGTTATATTGAAGCCTGAAGTCTCTACTTTAAACCCAGAATAGAACTTTCTAGAGTAGCGCTTAGCTGTACAGCAATCCTACATCAGCTACGGTACCCTTAGATTAGCTACAGTAATCCTTAACTTACAAGGGAAGGTCGTCAACAGGCTGAGCCGGCCAAATGCTATGCGACCTATACTAGTCGACGCAGAATTTTATGCTGATTCCGAACATGTATTCTGTTTTTGCTAAATGACAATCTACCAGGAGTTATAAGCGTTTAAAGTTTTGTTAGGACTCTGAAAATATGGTCATTTGGGTGTTAGCGGCCTTCTTGCGGACCGAATTCGGTGCAGCGATGGCCGAGGGGTAGGACGTTCGTTTGCCAGAGCGAAACCTGACAAGTTCGATTCTCACTCTGAATTTATCTTTTGCTTTTTTTCAAGAAGTGCTGACTAGTGTTCTTTGTGCGCGCGCACAACAGAATTCTTGTTGTCACACTTTTATAAAGTTTTTTTACACTCAAATTCTCAAATAAAGACAAAAAGAAAACTAACATTGATGACAATCATCGATAAAATGGAAAGAACACATAACTTTATATTGCACCGAGCATAACACAGCATAATATTTTTGTTGACAGAACACTACACGAAAAGGCATTCGTAGTTATACTAGAAACGAACCAGGCTGCACTGAATTCGATCCGAAGGCCGCTAAGACCCAAATGACCACATTTTCAGGTTCCAACAAAACTTTTTAGACGCTTATAACTCCTGGTAGATTGTCATTTTGAAAAGGAGAATACATGTTCGAAATCAGTATCAAATTCTGCGTCGAATGGTATAGGTCGCATAGCATTTGACCGGCTCAGCCAGTTGATCTTCTCTTATTAGTTAGAATAATCTTATTATTAAGGCATGACTCAAACTAAATGGTGATAAAGTCTTGTAATGCTGAAATATAAACTTTAATCAGGTCGAAGCCGAAAGTCCCAACTATCCTATCGCAAAATGCCACGGAGGCAAAAAAAATTTATGTGAGCTACTTTCTTAAAAAGTAGAATTTTACAAATCTTTATAGCTTTTCTCCGATATCGCCCGAGCCGATATTGAAGCGAATCCGAATTTGAGAAAGAAAATCCACGAGGGTTGAAGTACTTTCTTTTCAAGAACTTTACTCATGACACTCTTTCAGTGGTGAAGTCTTCAACACGCTGTCAGATCTTCATTATAATATTCTTATCAAGAAAATAGTGGAAACGATGTTCCAGGAAAAGTTCAAGTAGCTTTTCATCAGAATCTTGTAACGATAGCCTAGCACATTAGTCTACTTCAATTTTTGACCTTTAGCAAAAGTTGCCTGAAACTCTGCAAAAATGATTCATTTGGTCAAACGGTTCCGGCTAAGCTTTGAAGAGGCATGACTTGTTTCACTGAAAACCAATTGTCAATTTAGTCTTGGGGCAGAATGTTGCTGAATATTTGGAAAGGTGTACTCGGCAATCAAAGAGCTCATCAAAACATTTCAAGATAATGTACGTTGGACAAATAACAGAGAAACGGTAAAGTTTTAGGTGTTGAATCGACTTGGCTTCGTGGACGACTTGGACAGCATACCGTTGTCACTTTTGGAAAAAGATGTAGAAAAAGGCGAGCTGCATTTTAACCTTATTTAGCTATTAGGCTAACCAATAAGTCTTTTCGCTTTTTTTTGTATATTTCCGTTTAGAAATGATTAATGCATCAATTAGCATACAGCTTGTTTCTTTAAAAGGTTATTACTTTTTCTACAAAAAAATGTTGATTTATTATGAAAATGTTTGGTTTTAGAGTTAGTTTTTTAGTTTTTTAGAGGCGCAAAGTCGGCTGGTACAAAAATTCGATTCGATTACGCGATTTACACCCTTTGGTCCACGAAAACCTATCTTGCTGTTAATAGCAAAAAGATGAAACCCCGTAAAAAAAAGTTAGATTCATAGCCAAATTTTCAAAATTTAATCTGTTCAGTCAATTTCTTTAGAGTATTTTTCAGTTTTTTACGCAAAACTAGTTTTGACACTCGAATTTTAGCCCGAAAACAAATCCAAACTTGCTGGAAAAAGTAGAAAAATAAGCAATAAACGTTTTCTATTTGAAGCAAACCATCGGTCAATTGGTGAATTTGTCAATTTCTAAATGGGAATACGCAAAAAAGGCGAAAAAGACTTGTTTGCCAAACTGATAAAACTCAATACTTGGACCGCGTTGCTTGCCCATTCATTCAAATGTTTATTTGAGATCATTAACTTTCAGACTATTGGTGCCACATTCATCGGAGATCAACCCATCACTAAAAACAAACGCCGAGCAAAATCAAAGTTTTTTCAGTGGCACCAGAAATCGACTCAACTCTGTATGATTACGAGAGCACAATCCCACTAGTTGATTTCAAATCTTCAATCAATTTATTGAGATTCAGAAAAACTTCAAACACGCAAACAACGCATTAATCGTTGAAAATCGTCGACTGCTTTCAGAGATGGAAAAGCTTTTCGAGAAGGTGCTGTTAAAACACCTCTGAGGTAAATGCTTATTGCTATTTTAAATTCAGATTTCTATTCTTATTTTAATTCTAGAACAGATAGAATTCTTCTGTTTCGTTTGTGAGATCCCTAAATCTAGATCTTTTAGGTATCTTATTTGAGGGTGACAAACTTAAGCCAACACTGGAAAAATCGGTGAATCGCCTCGAGGAAACGATGACGAAAGAATATAGGTGAATTAGATTTCATAATCAAGGCTTATGAAAACTGATTTTTATAAAAACACCAAGTTTTGAACTACTAGAAACTTTATTTTCTTGATAAAACGTTTTCCCAAAGCTGCGCTTAGAAAAAAAGTGACCATTATGCAAAAGATAACTAAGGCTTGCAAGCATTATTTTCATGAAATTGTGATTTTTAGTGAAATCGCTCCGGAACTCGCAGCTCAAGCCAAAAGCAACTTGAGAGAGTTTTTCTTGAAAGAAAACCAGCGACCCACCAGGCACGACTTTATGGAGTGAGTTGGTGGGATTTTAGGTTAAAAAGTACTGTAGAAATACTGTAAGCTTCAATCTTTTGCTAATTAATATCCTAAGTCTAAGGTTTGTTTTGATTTTACTCAATACTTACGCAATATTATCATTCTTTTCAGTGTTTCTTCATTCCAGTGGACATCGCGATGAGAATTAAGCTTCATTATCGAGAAAATCGGAGCTTTCGATTGTATTGGAAACAATTCAACGAAAAGTACAATGATCAACAGATCTCAAGCCGTTACGATGTTTGTTTCTTTTGAAAATCATCCAAGTTACCGTATTTTCCCTAATGGTACAGTCGAACCTCCCAAATAACGATAGCCAAAGGACCGGCTATTTTTATCGTGATATCCAGGTTATTGTTAGATCGAGGTTTTGTTATATAGAGTTAAATAAAACTGGTTTTCTTAACTAAATCGTTATAGAGGGCCAATATAAAAATTTTATTAACAATAACAACAAAATATAAAAATTGCAAGGTTTATAATTTGGAATAAAAATGATTGAACGTACTCTGCTTAACAAGTTCAAAGTTGTTTCATAGAAAAAGTCATCAATAACAGTTAAAGCACGAGAAATATCACTATTTCCATTTTACTTTGCGTATTTCTTGAACTTTTGAAAAAGAACGAATGTAAATAATTGCAATTATAGTAAGATAGTCAGTAGAATAGGCTGAATATTTTAGGTTCTCACATTGGAATAAGGGACGGAATATTTGGCATTCAAACTTTCTATTTAAAGACTGTTTATGCCGCAAAAATTATTACAAATTGTTAAAAATATTGAATATTTTAGAAAATTTTTATCGTTATATCGAGAAAAAATCGTTATAAAAAATCGGGATTTCGAGGTTTTTTATAACGTACTTTACGTTACGGCGGCCGGGAAGCACAGCTATCGTCATATAGAAGTTATCGTTATATCGAGGGTTGTTATAAAGAGGCTCGACTGTGGTGACAAAAATGATGAAGCCCTGCCTGTTATGGCAAAGTTTCAAAGGTTTTAGTTGAAAACTCGCAAGTTTGTGCAACTTTTTATTGCTCAGGTGAATGGGTGGGGCTTCATCCTTTTTTGGTCGCTACTATTAGGGAAAATACGGTAGTAAGTTTTTGAAATTTAATCAATCATGATTTTGCAGAACATGGGGTACGATTATATCTTCAAAACTTATCTGAACCGATTGTACAATCATGAAGTGGCAAAGGGAAACAATACGTTCGACTACAGAAGCTATGAGACATTCACCCAAATGTATACGACCGTCTACGAAATGGCGGTGGTTAAAACTGATCTAAAGATAAGAAAGTAAAGTAAGGAATAGCAAAGAAAGATTTCCGGAGAGGGGATTGAACCAACGACCTTTCTGCTTTTCTTTTTGCTTTTTGCGATGCTCTAACCGCTGAGCTATCCGGTATCTTCTTGTCCGAGAAAAGAAAATATAAGGGGAAAGAGAGAGGAAGAAAGAGAAGGAAATAGCCGGTTATTTTTTTCAACTGGGATCGAACTTTGACATTCGAAATGTTAGTCAAACGTGCGTACCACTTGACCATACTTGAGCACAGTATATCAGGCGCAAATCTAGAGATTTGCGTGCAAATTCCTGGCACTTCTTAAGGCCTCCGAGAGTGGTTTACAATTAGCTTAAGAGTACGATAACCATTTGATAATTGTGAGCGCAACTTTTAGAAAACACAGTGGCTAGTTTAAAATCAAATAAGAATGCCTAAACTTATCTACTATATATAAAAGGGAAGTGTCTGTCCGTCCGTCCGTCTGTCTGCCTGTACGCGCGAGTTCTCGGCCCCCCGTGAGCCAATTTATACGAGTTTTAGTTTGTGAGGCTTAGAATTCTATGTAGTTGTGCATCACATATTTCGTTTTTTTTTAAAAGCGGAATGCACGACACAGCCAGGAGTCGAACCCGGGTCGTATATAGCGGTGGGCAAACACGCTACTCATTAGCCAGACTTGAAAGGGGAAAATAGCGAAAGTTTACATACGAAAATTAGCAATCGAGTTATTTTTACTTATCTACTTATCTTTTTCGGTTTTTCGGTTGATAGCCAGATATTTTGCAAGCGTCAAGGCTTATACGTTAGCTTTAAAGTTCACTTTTCAGCACCACCTCCGCTTTTTCTCGGACTCTCAAGAAAAGATTTTGGAATCCGAAGCCGAAGAAGATATTCGAGTGTTCAGTCGATATCGAGAAGAGGAAATTGATGAGTTTGAGCAAAAAATGGAAAAACTCAGAAAAGTCGATCATTCGGTGAGTCTGATTCAACTCTAAAGTTTAACCCGAGCATAAGTCTGATTCAATTTTCGCAACTTCAACCATTGAACTTTTTAGTACCGCAAGAAAATTGCCACCATTGATTTCAACACGTTTGTCGCTTACCAAATGGGCTTTTGCACGATCGATTTGAGCGACACGGCCAATCATTCTCTCTTCGACCTTGGATTCGAAGCTTTCCACAATTTTGTCAACACACATCGATGGTTTGATTTGTGAAAGTGAAGGCATAAAACATTTTCTAGGAAGGATACTAACGAAACGTTGAACCGAAACTTTTTGTTCTACCAGAATACGTCCGGGAGCTGTGAGCATCGATTCAATTATATCCACAAAGACTACCATCATGGGCATTTTCATCAGAAAAACGTAAAGTTCACAAAATGTAGCTTAGAAATTAATTAAGAAATATCTAATCTTGAGTACGATTGACGTAGCTCAAATTAAATTGGAAGTCGTAGCCGATTTTGAATGAAATCTTTTGGCAAACCTTTCTAGTAGAAAAACCCTTTAATGTATAAGGACAATATTTATATCATTTTGTAGAGAATTAAATTCTGCGTCAATTGGTATCAAAGTTGTGTGTTTAGGTTAAAAATTGCGGGCGCTACAACGTTTCATTCAAAATCGGCGAGACGCTCGTAGCCGATTTTGAATGAGTGGGTCTAGGGACCTCCAACCATCGCGTTTTTGATATCATTCGACACTTTAGAATCATTGATAATTATGTTAAATTTTTATAATTAGAAAGATTCGATAAAAAAATTTAAAATTTAAAGTAAAAACTGTTTGTTCGAGAGAAAACTTTGAAGTTCCATAAAATTTTTGTTTTTACTCAATCTTTCTAATTAAAGAATAAACATATTTATCAATGATTCTGCATCGAATAATATCAAAGACTTGATGGTTGAACGCGCCTAGACTCACTCATTCAAAGTCGGCTGAATTTCAAAATTGGCTACGGGTGGCCCAAAATTATCCGTCCACCTTCTCAGCGGATTACGTGCCAAACGCCGCAATCAATTCAAAAACCCTAAGTGTTATATAGGGAATCGAAGCTTGAATTCTTGCCTACATTTCTGTACCAAAAAGTCTGCGATTAAAGTTTCGCACTCGATCGCCTCGACTACGCGCCATAACGATCCGTTTTGTGTCTTAGCTTTAGTTCATTCGAAAGCTCTTGGGATTTTCTATTTTTTGAGCTATAGATCATGTCAATCCGGCAGATTTAAAGCAAGTTAGAAGCGTTTGTAGTTTGTAGGTTTGTAGTTTGGGTTTATAGTTTGGGTTTGTAGTTTAAGTTTGTAGTTTGTAGTGCTCATGTTTAGTCTATCATACTTCTTTCAGAGTCGAACTGGCGCGAAGTTCTACCTTTTCAGCGAACACGATGAGATCACGAATGAAGATAGGGAAAAGCTTAATACAAGCCTCAATGAAAGGTAATATGCTTGAGAAAGCAAAAGTTATACTAATTTAGTTTCTTGAAGAGTCAGTTGCCGTCAATTCTCCCCAAAACCCAGGAAGCCTACCACGAGGCGGCTGTCAAAATTTGTCAGAAAAAAGTCAATAACAAGCATAAGTGTCGGGTGAGTTAATTGGAGTATACAAAAAGCTATATTACATCTATATTACACTATAACTTTATAATACATTTTGATTCTCCATGGTTTAGTTCGTGTTGACGACAACAAATGACTGCATTTACCCGCGTGAAAGCGATAATCCTTTCATACTCTTTTTGAATCCACACAAGAACATCAAAGTGGTGATCGGAATCTGATGTAGCAATGGAACTTTTCCGCAAAATCTTTTACAAAATATCGTTTTTTATATCCAGTTTTTGTTGGCTCATTGTCAGTTCACCAATAAAACTTTATCATAAAACATCTTCAATAAAGTAAGACTGCAGAAATTTCGATTCATTAATTCACTTATTGCCACTTTTTACGTACAAATTCTTGGAATACATAAAAAAAGAAATTGCATTCAGAAAAGTAAACAAATTTTGGTCAACCCTGCCGGAAAACAAAACGAAATTGTGCATACAAAGTACAAAGATTATTGTCTTCAACCAAATGAAATTGCAAAAGAGCTAATACAATTCAATATGAAACTACTTGAAAATCATTTCAAGGTCAACATCGTGTACTTGAAGTGGTTCATTTCTTGGATGTTGTGGGCTTTGTGAGGCTGATGGATCTTTCTCTCCCTCATTTCCCAGACCCATCGTCGCGCCAGAGCTTTCGGCGCGTTGTCAAGAGTTGACCTAAAAGTGATTTATTATGAAAATATTTTGAACTTTTACAAGAATTTTAAACAGATAAGAACATTAACGTGCTTTGAGTAAGTTTAAGCGTTAAATATAAGCTCAAGTTATCGTTTATGTATGCCAGGACGAAGTATTAGGCAATGAAACATTGATGGCTTCCAAGTTCTTTACAGTTTTTAAGTATCAGCTTTTCGTGGAGCTAATTTGAAGCTTTGAATTTAGCGTTAAAAGAAACGCAATCAGTTGGCTAACCACTTCAAGTTGAAAGCTGAAAAGTGCTTTAGAAAGTCTCGAAGCTATATTTCCGAGTGTGTAAGAAATTATAGTTGCGGTTCTAATCTTCAGTTTTTGATTGGCTTGTAGCAAATCCTAGTAATTCAGCCCTAGTATTTGTATTCAGACTCGCTACAATTGGCGAACTAAAAGACGATATTCTAATTGTAAGCCTAGAGAGTTCTGAATCTCACCTTGTAAGTAGGAGCAATTCCTTAGAATTGCTCCTACTTACAAGGGAAGGTCGTCAACCGGCTGAGCCGGCCAAATGCTATGCGACCTATACGATTCGACGCAGGATTTTATGCTGATTCCAAATATGTATTCCGTTTTTGTTAAATGACAATCTGCTAGAAGTTATAAGCGTCTAAAATTTTGTCAGGGCCCTTCTGTCTATCTATTTTTTTGAAAATTTTTCTATCTAACCTTTGATATTATTTGTTGTTGAACACTTATATAGAAAAATCTGAACAAAATTTTTGAATATTTAGCAATTACGAAGAGAAGGGGAATTAGGGAACACCAAAAAACTCCGTTAGTGAAACTGAAATCAGATTTGGAATCAGCGTTCAAAACCCTATCAGATAAGCTAGAGCCGATTCAAAAACATCAACTTAAATTGGCGCCATCCTCTAGCAAGTTGGATCAGTTCCTAGTCAGAACTTAGTAAACTTTAAGCTGTATCAGACTTGTCCACCAGAACACGAGCTTTCTGAATAGCCTTTTTTCATATTTTCAACATAAAACTTTTACAGGACATTTTCAGAAACAATTTCAACAGCTTTCCAGTAAATAGACTATTCGACACGTATCTTGACATCAATTTCATGCATACAAAATGACCTTGTTTTCTACCCATCAAGCTCCTGCTGAGCTCGATGACGGTGAGGCTCTGGATTTTCTTCAGATCTGAAAATTCTCTACCTAACTCCAGAATTCATTTGATTCTTTTAAACAGAAACTTTGTATCTGACTTTCTGTAAATTTTTCTAGCACGAAGTCTTGCAATTCGATGCTTTTTTTTGCGCCCGTGAGAACACTCGGATTTTCGGAAACTCTTGAATGCTACAAAAATTTCGAAGAAATTGTAGTAAAAATCTCTTTCTCCAAAAAATTCCCGCTTTTTGCATGTAGACTTTGAATTTTCTTCGTAGTTTCGAGAACAGGTGAAAACTTGGCCCAAAGAGTGAGGATGTTGAGTCGAAATTCTCAATTTTCCTATCAAAAAACTCGTGACTCAAGTTGAACCCGGTTAATTAGCAAAAAAAAGCCAAAAACTGAGGAAATCGAGAAATAATGGGATGAAAGTGTGAGGAAATCGAGAAAATTTTTGATCGATAGGTGAAGGGAAAATAGTTGCCGGTTTTGTGGAAAATGACTCAGATTGAGCTGATTTTGTTTGAAAATTGAAGAAAAATGTAATTTCTGGTTTCAGAGTTATCAAAAAAAGTCAAAGTTGCGTGATTTTGGAGAAGATTTGAGTTTAATTGTAGGAATTGGGTTAAATATTGCTTTGTTTACTGTCCAAATCCAAATGCCTCACATTAAAACGCACCCTTTCTGTCATAACACTTTGATTTGCATTTTTACAGCATCAAGACCGTTATTGATAAAAACAGAGACGAATCGAGTGTGCCAGAAAGGGTGTGTTTCAATGCACATAACTTTAAAGAACGTTGGAAAAATGGGTACTCCATCCAGCTTAAAGTCATGGTTTATAGACGTCTTTGAGATGTAAATTTTAATTACAGATTGCAAGCTTTCAACTTACAACTGCCTATTGCTGCTTGCCTATTCTAGAGCCTTCCCTAAGAGTTTCATCTGAGGACTCGACTATACAATGCCTGATTTGATTGTGGGACATTTGATAGTTTCAAAGTTTTATAACATTGTGAATGTTAAATCAGGCGGTTATCGGAGATTTCATAAGCGCCCCGCCCCATTTGCCATTGGCAATCCACCTTTGAGCTCAAATATCTTGGTATTCGGCTGTCCCATTTAAATATTCTTGGTATCATTGGATGCGCCAAGTCTCTCTGTCGACTGGTACAAAAATTATTTAAATTGAACAGCCCAAGACCAAGTTATTTGAGCTCAAAATATAATGGCAAAGGTGGACACCTAACAAATGTCAATAGCAGAAAATGTAATGCCGAAACAATCCATAATTGTAAAGCAAAAATATGTTTGCTTCTTGCTTCTACTACCTCCATTTCACTAATTCGTGAATATTTAGACTTTTTAACTAAACTACCTGCAGGGTTTTTACTAGAGGACGGTGTCCCAGCCGAGGTCTTTCTCACACTGTCTTTCTTTATCGATCCACTACTCAATTTCTTTGCCGATGAGGATGCGGCTGGTTGGATCCAGCTTTTCTCTGAAACTTTTCGATGGAGCTCGATCTTTGACTGGTATTCACATCAATTTTCTAATAACCTCTTCAAATATCAAAACGGCTTTCTCGAACTTGCGGAAGTCGTCGGGACGACGCTGTCGCTCCCAGCCAAGAACCACCTGAAAAAATTTCAAACAATCAAAGGTTTTGAGAATAATATTTTGAAAACTTAAGCAGTTTGTACTTTTAGGAATAGCTTTTATTGTAAATTTTAACATTTATGGCTACCTGTCTTGACGCTCAGAGTTGCAAGCAGCTTGCCAGAACGATCTAAACAATCGCTTCCGGATCTCGGGGAGGGATCGGCCCATCTGTTCGTCTAGCCGATGTCATATCTCCGACAATAACCTGGATATTAAAAAATTTAATAAGAAAGAAAGAAATAAGATCTAAACCAACCTCTGGTAATCAATTTGAATAACAAACTCAAAATTGTCGAGGTTCAGTGAGGAGGCAGGATGATTCGGTGAAGGCCGCCGAGCTCTCTGAGGAAACTTTCTCGCTCAATTGGATTAAACTCAATTTGCTTTGGGCTTTGAATTGGGTAATTAAACCAGGCTGTCACTTTCTATTTATTGCAAAAAAGTCTTGAAAGACTGTTAGACTGGGTTCCTCTTCTCATAAAGAGGAAAAGGACAAAAAGGGAAGCAAAGGATGGCAAATGGGGAAGGCAAAGGATCTAAAAACCTGCAACCCAGAAAAAAACTACTATATTAATTGATAGGAAGCTTAAAAAGTAGCTAGGAAAGAGCTACCATACTCATTGAACTATCCATTTAACACATTAACGACGAAGCGACCGATATTTTGGACATGTGACAATTAGTTTTGGTGTCAACTCAGGCTTTTAAGGTTTTATTATTATTCGTTTCGCAGAAAGTTCTTGGCAACTTTGTTCTAGTTTTCAAGAGGAGATTCAGGGCTATCGAATGACTATAAAAGTTTAGTCTATCTTTGAATGTTCACTAAATTATCAGTAAAACAGTTAACGACTTTGCAACTCTCGTCATAATACCGTCGTCAAATGTGTTAAGCGCTATTTAAACGGTCGCATCACTTTGTAGGTCTATTCTATATATTTCAACTGAAATTATTGAGGAAACCTGCTCCACTTGTCCAACAGGCCAGACCCAATTAAACTCTTTGCTCACAAACCTCAAATGCTTTAAGAATTCATCATGTGCATTCAATGGAGCCGCCACATCGCCATACGTATTCACACATTGCACAAGCGTCTAAAGCTTTCACGTTTCAAAATACATTTATTCACATAAATAATGTGGTACAAACAATACACGATCACAACTGCTAAGCTCTAAATGTAGGAAAGAAAAAAGACCCATATAAATGGGAAAAAACAACCAATAGTCTAGTTGGCGGGATTGAACCCTTGACCTCCCGACTAACAAGAGAAGGTCAACTGGATGTGCTGGCTAAACACCATGAGCCATAGATCATTCGACGAAGAGTTTCACGCTGATCTAAGGTGATCTGAGGGTGATCTGAGGCGTTGTTTGAAGAGATCGCCAAGTTGTCATTTTGGAAACATCAAGATTGAGCTCTTTTTTGACTTGAGACATCGTTTTTTCCATGAATGCTGTTTGCAATGTGATGGACAGAAAGCTTCTTTTGATAGTTTGTTCGCTTCTTTTTTCCATATTGAGTTTTCAAGGTAACAAGGAAAGGTCAACCGAGTCTAGTGGCCAAATGCTATGCGACCATTCGTCCAAATAGGACCATTCGACGCAGACTTTCACGCTAATTTCGAATCTGCTTTTGCGTTTTTGCAACGCAGTACTCTGTCAAAAGAAGTTGTAAACGTGTAAAGTTTTGTAAGAAGTTTCAAAAAGCAAACCGCGACATTTCAGCCCCGTCGTTCGCGAGCTGGGCGGTCGCGGCGGTGACCGAGTGGTAGCGAGTTAGGACGTAAGGCGAGGACTATCTAGTTCGAATCCGATAGCTGCATAAAATCTTTTGGGGTAGTCCTCGCCTTGCGTCCTAACCTACTACTGTTCGGCCGACCACTGCAACTGCTGAGGTTGTGAAAGACAAGGTTGTAAAGTTGCAGTTTGATTTTTGAAACTCTTTACAAAACTTTAAACGCGTAAAACTTTTGAGACAGAGTGCACCATAGCAGAAAAGGAAAGCAGATTCGGAATCAGCGTGAAATTCTTCGTCGAATGGTCTATGGCTCATGTGATTTGACCACTACACTGGGTTGACCTTTCCTTAGCAAAGAGATACTCTTACAACCTCTTGACCAGTCAGAGTTTAACCAGTTGACCTTTAATTTCATTCTCGATCAGTTACGGTAGCTTTTGAAATCCCTGACATTTAGATTTAAACGTCTCTCCAAATTCTTACATTACTTATTTTCCTTTTAGTTTTCCCAGTTTCGAGGTTTTATTTCGGAATGACCTGCTTTGCATGCGTCAGAAAATTATTTTCGGTAATTTGCCTTTTTGAGAAATTGGTGATTTCTAGACAGACAAAACAGGTACCATGTAGCTGCATCTTATTTTCTTCATATTAGTAACTACATGGCATCTAAGCCAGAACACGGTTTTAGGGTCATGCTTACTAGTAAACTTAACAAAAATACAAGTCAACAAGTTCAACAGTACAAGTTCACCTAAGTTGAACTTTCCCCACTTGTTCTAAAGTATGAGCACGATTTTCTTGATCGTTTCTGATCCTCTTTCCATTCCTCGGCAAAGTAGGATTTGAGCTGGGGTCGATGATGAAAAAGCATTTCGAAAGCCTAAAAGATAATAGATTTCAGATAATAAAGAAAATTATTATAAGTAAATATTGTATTTCACATTTGTTAGTCGAATCGAGGTATCAAAACTTCTAGGCGTCTATCAAAAAGTTGTTGGAAAATGGTAGAAAATGAATGGGAATCATATAACAAAGCTCAATTCCTGACTTGCAGGATTGTTCCAGACTCTGGAATCCCTAACACAGAGAGGGACCAGAAGTCAAAGCTGGTCTTTTGACTTGAGACCAAGTCCATCTTATAGAGTCGACCATGGGAATCTCAAAGCTGTTTTCTGTTTTTGCAAAACGCTACGCAGTTGCTTCGCAATTTAGATCGAAACACATAGAAAATCTTTATCAAGGCGCCAAACGAAATCCAAGCAATTGCTTCGGTGGTGTAATCAATAGTTTGCTAGACTACCGAACCTATGACATTTTTGTCCCGAGTTCGAATCCCGCCATCATCGAATTTTTCGCTTTTATCAAAATCTTTTTTCGGCTTGTTTACAATGAATAATAGACCCAAACTTTTTGCTTCCTGGAACTTTGAAAAAGCTTTTGAAATAAAAACAAGCCACAACAACAAACATCCTATAGTTATCAAGTGGGAACATACAAAAGTACTTTTGAAGCGCTTCAATGTATTTGTTTTTGTACTTTCCAGACTTTCATCACTTTACTTTCGAAACTTTTTGAAAAAAAGCAAAAAGTTCGATGATGGCGGGATTCAAACTCGGAACAAAAGAAAGTCATAGGTTCTGTAGTTTAGCACACTATTCACTACACCACTGAGGAAGTCATTTGGATTTCATTAATAGCGACCCCTCATAAAAGTTCGCAATATTTGGCATTTCTATGCCAAATACCTCGCGATTGCGAAGCATCTTGCAAAAAACGGATTTGAGATCCCCATGGCTGATTCTATAAGATGGACTTGGTCTCGTGAAAAGACCAGCTTAACTCGGTGTCTTTCCCTAGTAAGACCTTTTTTTGTCGGCTAGGAGCTATATATCCTGTAGCCTTGGCTGAGCATGACCTCTCTAGCATGGCTCTGACCTTGTCTTCCAGCCCTAACTATAAGACCCAGTTGGAAGATCTCTACTGGGTGCTAAAACTAAACCCAAACCTAAAAACTATAAACATTGTTTATTTGCTTACAAATGTGGCTTAAACCTTCCATGTACCAACCTTGCAACCCATGTCGAAAAGTGAACCGAAATTATCGGGCCACCAATCGTACATCAAATCCAGCTCGGTTCGCTCGACTTTGAGACCCTAGAAATGTTTTGTTTTTGCTCGAATAGCCACTAAATTTACCATTTTCTGAAGTATTCTCGAATTTATTTATTTTATGTCTAACAGTTTAAATCAAATTGCTGAAGCTACAAAAACTCGGATCCCAGCACTTCCACCCTCATCTTGCTGGGGCTCTTTTATTCATGGATTTGCGATCACTTTTATGGGCCTGTCTGACAGGAAGCTTGTTTTAGTGCCTTTTGGAACAAGATGAGCACTTGATGTGATGTGCTTTTCTGAAAAGTTTGCTTTTCAAAATCAGCACTTTTAAATCAAAGAACAAACAGAAATATAAGATATAAGAGATATAAAAGATAAGATATAAGATAAATATAAGATATAAGATCAATATAAGCTATAAAAGATATTCAGGTTAAAAAATTTAAAAAAATTGTAGTATAAATAATTAAATGAAGAAAATACAATACATCCACTTTCAGATCCATTTCTCACAAGAAAATTTCCCCGAGAAACACGATTTTTTCAGTAATTACTTCCAAAAAGTTTACGAAAGATCAATGTCAATTTTTTCTACAATAAAATAAAGAAACTTTTTCAAATTTGGCGAAAGGTAAGTTTAAATTCTCCAAAAAAGGACAGATAATTGCTCGTTTTGTGGTGAGTAATTTGCAGTGATGACGCTAATCGAAATGTCAAAAATGGATCGTTAATTTTGAAATTTTGATGCAAAACTCTCCCGAAATAACCCTTGTTTTGATAAAAGATTGAAAATAAGAGAACTCTTATAGAAAGAATGCAGATATTTGCCAGGAATGGCTTTGGGAGCAAACAAGAAGAGATATTTCAGGAGAGATTTTATCGGATCAGATAAAATCAGATATTTTGGGCTTCGAGCCTTATAAATTGCTAGTATGAAGAGAAAAAGTCAAAACAAACAACAAGTTTTGTTTGCATAGATCTTGAGAATCTTTTTGTGCAAAAATTATAGAGATTGATCGCGTCTGCACAAACTAGTAGCGTTTTAAACAAGCGCAACTCGGATTTTCTCAGTTGGCACACTACAGTGTGGACTTTTTACCATTACCGAACAACAAAAAACAAAAAGACTTTAAAAGAAAGCCACTTTTTGACTCGAGAAATACGCCTCTTTCTTCTCTTTTTATCTTTTTCTTTGCTACCAGCTTGGCTCAGCAGCTCAAGCCAAACTAGACTAGATCACCCTGGTTGCAAGTATGGCAGCAAATGAGCTAGTTCATCCACACTAGAGACGAGATAAAGGCTTTACCAAAAACAGAATCAAGCCAAGACTGGCACAAGAGTGGGCTTACTCAGTGGCCTAATCCCGAAAAAATACCCGGACCGCAAAGAAGGCAAACCTGGGCCTAGATTCTAGTCTAACTTGGCCGTGCCTACTTTATCTGGCCTGGTTCACAGATTCTAGAGACCAAAACTTTAACCGCATGGTTTGTCAACTAGAATAGATCAACTGTTCTCTGTACCAAGAATTCGGAACAGCTTCTGGCTCATTGGATTCTTTTTTGATTAGCTAACAAAATTTGGTTAAGCTAACATAAATAAATTGAGCCAACAAAAGGGTTAAGCTAACTAAATGATAAAGGTTCTTGAGAAACAAAAGAAAGTTCAGTTATTCCTTACAATCCAAAAAGAAAACTCGTTAGTTGAAAAAGTTAGTATTACTTTTTCACTAATCACAGGGATTTCTTTTCAAAAAGAAGTAAAAAGACAAGTCAGAGAAAAACTTTAGAAAAGAAACCATGAAAAAGAAGAAAAAGAGGATAAATAAAGGCCCAGATTTTCCATGTTTGTCTCCTCATTTTTGTGAAAAGAAACAAAACGACGAGATAATTATCGGATCCCAAAGGAGAAAAGGAAAAATGACGAAAACGACAAAAATCTTCGGATTATCACGAAAAAGAAAAAGTGGTTTTTGTCTCTTTTCTTTTTGCAGAAACAATACCCCTCCACATTAAGGGATTTTATTTTCTTTAAAAAATATAAAATATTATGTAAATTCAGGGGTTTACGGTATTTTTAAATTTTCCGCTTCAAGTGAAAAGGAGAAAGCTGACACTTTTTTTACGGCTAAATTTGGAAGCGATTTTGCAGAGAGGAAACGAAGAACCAAACTCTGGCTTTGTGATTGTAGAGAAATGGTGTTTTTGAGTTAACTATGCGTACTAGATTTTTGAGCGTAAAGATTTGGAAGTGAATAACAAAATGAAGTGGCATGGTAAATAAAAACAAAAAAATGTTGACTTGTGAAACTTTAAAAATACTATTTGTGCTTTGTGATGGTTGCATTGAACAAAAGCACAGTTTTATTCTGATTGAATGGTATTCTTGTTGTTGGAAAAAGTATGGCTAGGTACAGTAGCGGACAAAGACTTAGCATAATTTAGTGTTTTTGTAATAAAACTCGCTGTTTGTGCAATATTTACCTAAAACTTCGAAATATAATAATAAAACTTGAAGTTTTAACAAAAACAATTGGTATTTAGCCAAATAGACTTTCAGAAAAAATTTTTGAAGATTTTTATACAAAACTGGCGCGACAAAGGCTTAGCATATTTTTAATAACATATTAACTAAAGCTGGTAACAAATGTTTTTGAAATCAAAACAACAAAATTCGTTTTTAACAATTAATACTTCGTAGGAAAACCATTCGAGGCGATGACAGCATCACATCTGCAAGGCATGGACTCGATAAGTTCATCGATCGTCTTTTTTGGAATCTCCGACCACTTCTTGGCTAAGAGATCAAATTTATCCTGAGCATTTTTGAGTTCTAATCCCTTTGCAGATTGAACCCAGAGTTGGGGACAAATGCTCAATAAGATTCAGATCAGGGCTTTGGCTTGGCCCACTCCATAACAGCAAAGTTTTGTTGCGACAATGAATTTTGAGTGAGTCGAGCCTTGTGTTTTGGATCGTTATCATGCTGAAAAAAGTGAAATTTGGGAAAATAGTTTGAACTGCATTGGGAAACATATGGTTTGTCAAAATGTCCCAGTAAACTCGTTGATCCATAATCCCAGTGATTCGCTTGAGTGGTAGAGTTCCATCCGAAAGGGGCCACCCCATGCGAGAACGTTTCCCGCCGCCATGTTTGACTGTAGGGGAGAATGTAGTTTTATTATATCTTTGGTTAACTGGACGTCGAATATACTGAATTCCATCAGAACCAAGTAGGGAAAACTTGCTTTCATTAGTGAACAAGCAATCTTTCCATTGCTGAAGAGTCCACCCTTGATGCTCCTTAGCAAACTACACTCGGGCTTTCCGATTTTTTGCTGAAATCAATGGTTTCTTGGCAGGGCGTCTCCCAAATAGTCCTTTAGCGTTTAGACGACGTTGCACCGTTCGCGAAGTGATCTTATCTTTCAAAGAAGTTGGTAAATCTTTGTAGATCTCAGTTGCAGGCTTCTGAGGATTGCTTTTTGATAAGGTTTGAATCCTGTTATCATCTCGAGTAGTTGTTTTCCGTGAAACACCAACATTCTTTTTTGCAATTGTGCTTCCTTTTGTCTTGAAAAGCTTCAAAATTCTCGAAACAGTCGACTGGTGCACCCTCAGAATGGTAGCAATTCGATCCTGTCTCTCACCGGCTTGATGAAGAGCCACAATCGTATCCCGAATAGCAGGCTGGAGTTGTTTCTTGCGACCCATTGACTGAAATTAATAAAATAATAAATTTCAATCAAATTATAGCTCAAATTAAGAAAAAAAACGCAGAAAAATAATCAAAACTACTGGGAAATGCAAAATTATGCTAAGTCTTTGTCGCGCCAGTTTTGTATAAAAATCTTCAAAATTTTTTCTGAAAGTCTATTTGGCTAAATACCAATTGTTTTTGTTAAAACATCAAGTTTTATTATTATATTTCGAAGTTTTAGGTAAATATTGCACAAACAGCGAGTTTTATTACAAAAACACTAAATTATGCTAAGTCTTTGTCCGCTACTGTA